GCGCTGTGTCTGCCGTTTTAGAAGGAGAACAGATTAGTCTGTCTCACGCTAGCGCTGTGTCTGCCGTTTTAGAAGGAGAACAGATTAGTCTGTCTCACGCTAGCGCTGTGTCTGCCGTTTTAGAAGGAGAACGGATTAGTCTCTCACGCTAGCGCTGTCTGTTGTTTTAGAAGGAGAACATATTAGTCTGTCACATGCTTGTGTGTCCAACCACTGAAATAGCTTTCATGATACCACCAGGCTCCTGTGCTTAGTGAAGGACTTTGACCAGTGTTACATGACAAAACCATTATTACTTAGTGTCATACAGGTATGTCAACAAATCCTTTTTGTATTCTAGATAACCAAGCTGTCCCTGTTTCAGAATGACGTTTAACCTTTAAAACCTTCCCTGTTTCAGACTATATCGGTGTCCTTCCTAATTTTGTAGTCAGTGGTACCTCAAAGACCTCCCCTGTTTTGAAATACTAGAAACTAGAGTTTCCCTGTCTTAGGGCTACTGGTTACTGGTTATCAGGAATGACCCCCATGGGCTATTATACTGGCACACACATGTTCTTTTTCTGCACTAAATGTTCGTCGAAGGCTCATGGACCGAATCTACCCTGTTGTCTTAACCTCAGTTTCAATCATAAACAAAGTCTGCCCAAATACAGTGTTTTAACTTATAACTCCCACTGATAAAGTCTTATTAATATTCTTGCTGTGACTGGGTCTGATAAATCAGGTAAGTAGCGAAAATCTGAAGAAGTGCATGTGAAAATGTTTTACAACATGCAAAGAGTATCAGTAATTAGGACTAGGAAACGAGTAAGAAACAGGAATTAAACTTTGAAACCACAGACATACCCATTTCCCCAAAAATCTTAATTTAAGTCTTTTAAATTCATCCAATAATATAACTTAAAGACCAGTGTATGAGTACATGCACTGGTTCCTTACGTCACCTATCAAAGCCATTTGATCTCTCGTTTTATACCTTTTATGTAAGGTAGTCGTAATCTCTGTCTACTGTTCATAGCTGTGCCAGTTTCATTCCAATTTTGATTCTTCGTTTCTGATAAACTCCCACATGTTTAGCACAAAGTGTGACTTATTTCAGTAGGTACAGCTCATACCAAATTCCATGTGAAATGTCAGTACGAAAAAACTGACCCAAATGCAAAGGTAAATTTTATTTCAACTTATTTCCTTCCGAATTTCAAGAGACTTGAGTCATATGTTTGTGGTCAGAGTCAGCACTAGAACAGAAGAATCAGAGGTCGTACAAGTACAAGAGGCTGTATCTCGCTCTAACAGTTCAAACGCTTTCTGCACCCCTGCTATAAGCGCCAGCCATGACCTCATACTTTGTTGAAAAAGCCCCCCTCACCTTTCTGTGATCCCCTGCATGCGCCTGGTCCACCACCACTGACAGAGGGCAGGTCCCAGCTCTTCAGGGTGCGATCCTGCGTCACCTCTGGGCATTTATTGCCTGCCAATATCCGTGTTATTCAGCAGAGCCAATGCTCAGCTGTGTCTTTTGTCTTTCTCAGTGTAGAATCCCTGCAGCTCCGTACCACAGCGCACCTCTCTAGTGGAGTAGGTGCTGCCTATTAACATGAATGAATTCAAATGGCACATAGTTGTACATGAAGGATTCACCATAAAGGAAAGTGAGCCAATATCCTGGTAAATGATGAGCATTTTGTGTTAAATAATGGCTTAAACTAGCACAACAAATGCAAATATATATATATATATATATATATATATATATATATATATATTGCCTATTTACTTTGGTTAACGTAGAAGGAGTGGTTGTCCAGTCATGAGTGTTTTAGACAAATGCAATGGAAGATGAAAACTGAGGTATGATTCAAGGTGTGAATTAAATTCTTGCAGATGACAAATGAAGAAGACATGTCATGGGTTATGTTTTAAAAGAAAATCTCCCATCTTTATGAGAGTTTGTAAGAACCCATGAATTAAAACATGAGCCATAACATAAATGCCCTATAAAAATTATGAACAGCCTTGATGCAGTCCAATCACTAAGCCTGACTGAGGTGGAAATTCATTTTGGTGCCTATGTAAGAAAACAGTTCTTCACAATCCGCAGCCTATACATTTTCTAAAACTGCTTATCTATAGTCAGGTCCATAAATTATTTTCATAATTTTGGCTCTGAGTGCCACCACAGTGGATTTCAAATCAAACA